GCGGGCCCCCCCCCCCCGCCGGACTCATCTTTGAGCGGCGGCGGCGGGGCCGGCACCAGAAACGGCTCCTTCTCTGCCGCCATCTCGATCATTTCCTCCCCTTATTCCGTCCCAATCGAGAGTAACGAGGGGGGATCAGGGGGCTTAGCCCCCGTTCCTAAACCCTGCTCCCCCTTTCCTGAATGTGCGCGCAGCTCTGCTCAGATCGCCTAGTCTCGCGCCCAAGTGCCTCCCCGCAAAGCGAGCTCACACGCCCGCGAGACCAAAACAAGATGCCTGCAAGACCCGAGCAACTCAAGGAATCAACCGCGCGTGCGCCAACTCCTTTCTCTTCTATTACCACCACTTGGCCGCGAGCGCGCACTGGTGGGGCGCGTTCCTCTCAACCCAGGATCACGCATGCGCACTCTGCCACCACCCTGGCTGCGCGCGCATCAGAGTACGAACCAACTTAACGGCTCCGGGAGTTTAAATAAAGCCCCCCCTCAATACCCCCAAAAGCCCCACCACCCCAAGCTGACCACCTACTTCCCTTCAGCAGCTATGTCCAACCCTACTGATATCCTTTGTCTCTGCCGCGCGATCCCACCCACCGTAGGCGGGGGACGGGGAGCTGGTGTGAAAAGGTCTCCTTGACACCCGACCCTTGTTCCTGAGGAATGAGTCTCAGCGGTCTCCGCCCGGCTCTAAACCCAACAACCGCCCTACCCCTCCTCCTTCCTCCCCCTAGTGGGCAGCGCCTGCGCACACCCTTTTGGGCTTGCGCGAGTAGGTGCAGCACGTGCTGGAGGCAACACCCCGCCCCGGGGCGGGGACAGTTACGTCGCTAGATACACGTAACGTGCGTCAGCACGATTCAGAGGGGCGTGGATATCCAACGAAAGGGGCGGATCTTATGAATTATTCATAACTAGGTTGCACAACCCCCCCCCCTTTGCCCACCTACTTAGAAGGGTTTCAGAAGGAGCAAAGGGATGGGCCTGAAAGTAAAAGGAAAGGAAAAGAGAGGAATGTACTGCCCGTATTCCTACGAACTGTTCTCAGTAAAATGCGATAGGTCATTTTAACTCACCCCCCTCGAAAATATTCTCTGTTGGGTTGAAAGCAAAATAGGACTAAAACAGACGATGTTGTCCAACTTCTTCCCCCGAAATGGCTGAGTTGTTCTTTTGCTCCACTGTCTTTCCCCAATCGCGATCACCCGGGGACACCACGCCTTCTTCTCCGCCTCCACACCCACGGCCCGAACACCAAAGCCTCCGCCTACCACCCGACACCTGAGCACAAGCCTACATTCGCCAGCTCGCACGCAGGCCTTCCCGAACGCACGCTGCGGCTTCGCGCCGCCTTATATAAAAGCGACTGTGGGCGGGGAAGAAGAGTCCGCCTGCTTTGGCCCCCTGTCTCGGCCAATGGGGAAGAAGCAATTCCACTCAGTTTCCCCAGGGTGAGGGGTGGCCGGGTCTCCCCTCCGACAGTGTAGTGTTTGGCTGACAAGAGGGCAGTGGGGGCGAGTGTGGATTCAGGATAATTTCAAACAGAATATTAAAATAAAGGCGCGAAGTAGACTAGAAGTCAGAGTATGAATCAGGGAGCGAAAAGAGGAAGGACAAGCAGCCTAGGGCAGAGGGAAAAGTTATTAAAAGAAAGACATGTTTCAGGAACAATCAGGCGCTGCTGCTGCCGCCTAAAAAAAGTGAAGCCAAGGAAGCTTGTGGGATTTGTAGTTTTACTGAGGCATTAGGTTGGAAGATGGCGGAAATAAGTTGCGCAGACGCAGACGCGGCATCCACCTGCGCATGCGTCTCGGTTGGGCCCTCGCCGCGAGGGGGTGGAGCTTGTGCGCGTCGTCGCGCCTTTTCTTGTTGGCGGGAAAGCTGGGTCGAAGTTGGAGGCGCTTGCTTGTTCTCTGCGATAACTCACTTCTCCCCTCGCGTTTTTATCCTTCTTGCTACAGAAGGCAGCTGTTTCTTCTCCGGTTGCAGTCGAAGGTGCTAGTCGCGGCCAATCGTGGTATCAGTTACCTGAGGAGAGGCTTTCTCTTCAGGGCGGCAACCAACTCTTAGTCCTTCCTCCTCAGAATCGCTCACCTCTAACTCACCCTCCCCCAAACCAAACAAAAATAACCGCATGTAATGGCCGGCATTGGGACGACCTGAACAAGAATGAGGACCCTAGTTCCTCAGCGAGGGTGGGATCCGAGGGGAGATTGTCTCATAGTGGGACTCTTGACGGTAGGAAGAGAGCCTCAGAAGCCACTGCTTTACCTTTTGAGAGAGTCGAAGACATTGGGCCCTGTGAGACTTCTGAGCATAGCTGGTATCCCTGAGAGAACTTCGTAAGGGGAGAGAGGAGAAAGGGAAACCCGTCAGAAGTTGTCTTTTGGTTTTCCAGGTGGATTTAGGTATTTTGTAGCCCCAAACCTTGACGCATTATGAGATAAAATGGTGTGGGCTCTGGAGTTCGTGGGGACGTGCTCCTTTAAGTAAAAACTGCCTTAACAATTGGAGGCAGGAGTGGAAATATTTCATGCAGTTGGTAGCAAAAATAAAAAAAATTTTAAAAAAAAGGATATCAGCAGTTCGAAAGAAAGATTGTGTATTTTGGTGATAAGCAGCCATGTGTTTGTGCTTCCTTGCACTCTGAACCCAGCTATAGTTCATCATGGACTTAGAAGCTTCTGTGAAAGGTTTAGGTCAGATAAATGTCTTGTTATAGGCAGTAAGGGTTGCTGGAATTTTCTTTTCCTTCTTGTTTTAAACATTTAGAATTATACTTGGTGAGCCCACATGAAAGAAAGGAAGGGAGAAAAGACCGTTAGTTAATGCAGATATGAAAATAAGCAGAAGTTCATATATAACTAGACATTAATTCCAAAAGAAAATCACCCTCCCGCTTAAGGGAGATTTTTTTTTTTTTAGAGACAGAAAGCAAGAAATCCCTCCCACACATGCCCTGACATCCCCTCTCCATTGTCCTCTTGGCATTTTGGCCATGCATGCATAGGGTACCCAGCATGAGTTTCAAGCCACTGGGTTCATAGACTTGAACCGAGGTCAGCCATGTAGGTTCTGCTGGTCCCATTAAGGGAGATTTTAAATACATTGTTTTTCAGGCTCAGGAAGTTTCTGTTAGAGGATGAAAGGGTTTACTTTTCTTAGACCAGGGATCCCAAGAACAACATGAAGACGCAATAATTGGATACTATGGAGGGAAAATTTTGTGAACACATTCTAAATGGAAGAGGGGCAAGGGAGTTAATACTTTTTAAAAATATCGGCAAGACTGGATTGTTATTTCGCTAAATCAGCCCAGGCATTTTGCTCTGAGAATGCATTTATAGTTTTAAAATTTATGAAGCACAGCAAAGAGCTTTTATAGTTTGTATCTATTGATATTAATGTATTAGGTATTAAAATTGAAAAATGTAAGATACTTACTTTGCAAGTAACAGTGATGAAGTCATTACATGTTAACATAATGTTTTTGTGAAAAATACATTTTCCTAAAGGAGAAAATGTATTGTGAAGAAACATGGTTTACGTTTATGCAAATCTCTTTCATGTCTGGTTTAATAGAAACCAGCTGGATTGTCTGTCTCTGTAGTCAATTTGTTGTGATAACTTGTTCTGGTAGAAGTACAAAAAAAAAAATCCAGTTTAACACAGATAAGTAGTTGGAAAAGGGAAAAGACTTCTAGTGCTATTTGGACTGTGCTTTGAGAATTGCTGGGCTAGGTGACTTCATCTTGAAATTACTATTTTTTTAAAATAATTTTTTTCACCTTTATTTATTTATTTCTTTTTTGGAGAGGTTTTTGCTATAGGGCATGTGTGCCCACCAGAGAGAAAAAAAGAAATCACCCCCCCTCCAGGGGATGGCCACACCGCAATCCTTTCTTCTCTCAGGATCTTGGGCAGGCATGCACACGCACCTGGCATGAGTTTAAGCCACTGGGTCTGGGACTCGAACCGCAGTTGACTGCATGGGAGTCCAGTGACAGCCATTCCACCAACTGCTGGTCCCAACTCTTTTTTTTTTTTTTTTTTAAGAGGTTTTTGCTATAGGGAGTGTGTACTTTCAAGAAAGACAGAAACAGAGAGACAGAAAGCGAGAAATCACCCCCCATGGGGGATGGCCACACCACAATCCCTTCTCCTCCATTCTCCTCTCGGGATCTTGGGCACGCACGCACACGCGCCCGGTGTGAGTTTAAGCCACTGGGTCTGGGACTCGAACCGCGGTCGCCTACGTGGGAGTCCAGCGACATAGCCATTATGCTAACTGCTGGTTCCTCCCCCCCCCGCCCCCAGCATGTTTTTCAAACTGCCAGAGTCTGAAACTCAATTGTGTAGTTAGCCATGTGAAATCTAGCTGCTTCAACTTCTGTACCACCTGCTGGCCTTCCTGTGTATTTTAATTTATACTTTATTTGATATATGCTTTCTGCATGTAATATATTATTAAAAACAATGGTGAAGCACTGGACTAGACTATTAACACATAGTATAGCACAGTTAGCACAAACATTAATAAGTAGTAATATCAGGACAGGTTCTAGTCCTGATATTACTACTTATTAATTACTTATTCTCTAACCCCCTTTAAGCCTCAAGTTCCACAAGTGTAAAATGGTGTCTATCTCATAGATATAAGAATTAAATGAGATGATAAAGGGTAGAGTATATAGTCAGTTTTCAATACATGCTAGCCATTACCATTAATCACAATGGTGGTAATACTGGTGTAGTGTAGAACATCTGTGTTGAAGGCAAACATTGTCTATCTCATTATAAATAGATTCTAAGGTAGAAAAAGAGATAGAAGGTGCCAAGTTCTCTGGGGACCTCTGTTGGTTATCAAATATTTCTGAGCTATGAACAGATTGGTAGAACCCAGTGTACAGTAGTCTACCCTAATCCATGAAGGATACCTTCCAAGACTCCCAGTGGATGCCTGAAACCATGGATAGTACCAAACTCTATATATACTCCCTCTCTCTCTCTCTCTCTCTCTCTCTATATATATATATATA